GCCAGGCAGGTTTGGACAGCTTTTTTCCCTTAATAAATGAAATTATCATTTAAAAACTGCATTTTGTATTTACTTGCATTATCTTTGCGTAATATTAAAATTTGTTTGATGATCTGAATCTTTTAAGTGTGACAAATATGCAAAAAATTTAAAAAACAGGAAGGGGGCAAAAACCTTTTCACGGCACTGTAAATGCTTCTCCTAGCATGTATTAGGTAATAAAAAGAATAACACATTAAATATGAGTCCATACAGGCTACTTAAAATAGAACGAAGAGTGCAATGTAGGGCTGGGACAATACATCGATGCATCACGAATCGATAAATGATTCTGCATCAATTCTGAGATTTTCCGAAGGCATCGCGATTCTCTCTTGAATCGATTCTGAGCTTAGTTTTTAACAGCAGATGGCACTGCGTGCTTTAGAAACAGCCGTATTCTGCTTGCTTCCAGTTCCTTACACATGCAATGTTCTGATAAAATATTTTAGAGCTGAGAACACATTGCAAACTATTCCATATATAGTTTTTTTTTTAGGCTGAAACAAATGGTTCACAATTCCAAGTTTTAAGATCGATAGGCACTGGCAGGATTTATAATTGATGCATTGAGAAAATGAGTGAATCGTTACACCCCTAATTCATCGCGATATAAGGACACTTATTTACACAATATTTTCCCAACTGTCCCACTGAACAACAGAAAACACAGTAAACCAGCTCCTCAGTAGAGGAGAGCGAGAAGGACAGGAAGTGCAGGACATGCAGACCGTCTGAGGAGGCGTCCGAATCCCAAGCAGAAGCACACATACCCCTTGAGCCTGCAGGCGCAGGGTGGTGGCAGGGCTGCCCGTCAGGCGCTTGTCCCACTGACTGGGCCTGGGATCGGGCGTAGCCTCCATAAAACTGCGCTTTAGCTCACTAATGCTAGCCTGATGCTTCAACACATCCTCCTGGGTCTTATCCAAGTCCTGATGGGCCCACAGCACCAGCGAGAGGCAGGCAGGGGGAGGACAAAGGGACAACCAACAACCAGCACATTAGTCATGGAGAGACCAGAACCACATTAGAGTCGAACCTCACTGCTCGCCAGACGCACCCCAGCGGACGGATGGACGGATGTTAAGACCTGGAGTCCTGAGCTCTGTTCAAAGACCCAGCAGCAGGAGCTAATATTTACATTGGCATTGTGTGCAGTCATGATGCCGCAAGGAAGCTCGCTAGATTTGGAACAGAGCCGTAGGGTTCTGGAACATCTCTCAATAAATAATGACGTCCAGTGTTATTGTTTTAGTCGTAATTTGACACGAAAGAAAATGAGGTTGTGAGGGACAGAAATACAGACTGTTAAGGCCCTGATTTACTAGTGAACTGATGAATGGGTGTGATGCCATTAAGAACAAAATAAGAACAAAAAGCTAGTTCATCTGGAGTTTGTTTCAGTTCGCCAGTGCAAACTTCTGAAACACTGAAACAAACTTGTAGCCAGATTTCATTCAAAACTGCATGACACCCATTCTTTCTGTCAGACGGTTTCAAACCACCTAAACAAAATCTGGCTCAACCAAAATTCGTTCTGAGTTTGTTTTGGTGGTTTTGAATAGTTTGCCTCCGCAGACTTTCCAGAAAACTTTGTGCTGCTATTAAAGGAACACTCCACTATTTTTGAAAATAGGCTCATTTTCCAACTCCCCTAGAGTTAAACAGTTAAGTTTTACCGTTTTCGAATCCATTCAGCCGATCTCCGGGTCTGACGGTAGCACTTTTAGCTGTAGCTTAGCATAGATCATTGAATCTGATTAGACCGTTAGCATCTCGCTCAAAAATGACCAAAGAGTTTCTATATTTTTCCTATTTAAAACTTGACTCTTCATCGTGTACTAAGACCGACGGAAAATGAAAAGTTGCGATTTTCTAGTCTGATGTGGCTAGGAACTATACTCTCATTCCGGCGTAATAATCAAGGAACTTTGCTGCCGTAGCATGGGTGCAGCAGGCGCAATGATATTACGCAGCGCCTGAAAATAGTCCCCAGCACGCTCCCTGTGCAAGCAGGTCGTCACGTTGGTTATGTTGACGGAAGTTAGCCTATTTTCAGGCACTGCGGAATATCATTAATACGGTAAAACTTAACTGTTTAACTCTAGGGGAGTTGGAAAATGAGCCTATTTTCAAAAATAGTGGAGTGTTCCTTTAAACACCTTCGAACTGTGCCTGAATAATCACAAACAGTACACGGTTCCTCCGGTATTGCTTGACCCGCCGAGCGAAGAACGCAAAACAACTTTGGTGCAAGTATAACAGGATCTTTATATGTTGTACATCCAGGTGTTCATATTCCAGCTGATACAACATTGCAGAACTTGTGGAAAGATGGATTTTCAGTCAAAAGATTGTAGGTGTTAAAAATGAGCTCAGGGCCTTAAAACAGTACAGCCTATTGCTCTGACTGTACGTCTGTCCCTCACAGACTCAATTTCCTTTACATCCAATGAAATAAGCTGTCTAACTCAAACTAGTCAGCGTCTGTGGGGAGCAGTGAGGCAGGACTTGTTCATTACACACTGAGGACTGGAGCGGTGCAGTGATACACTGCCTCAGTGCCAAAGACACACAATTATTCCAGTAGGTCATCAGTAGGTTGACACTGTGATTGATCTGTTTGCTTGAGCATCGGGACCTCTTAGATGACTCATTATCTGATCAAACTGCCAAAAGGAATGCAAAATAACTATTTACTACTAGTGTTTGGCGACAGTGATTACACACTTCAGCTTTCATCCCTGACATTTAGGCCACATTTTTCCAGGTAACCACTAACTAAATGCTCCAAATCAGCTTGTTATTATGTGACGTGTCTATCTCAGGGGTCATGAGCCAGGTGTCTTTGGCACTGAGAGGGTCACCCCAGGATGAGTACATTCATTTAGTTACAAAATAAAATGTAAACAATCACCACAACCAAAGCAGAAAGTCACCTGTCTGGTTAGGGAAATACTATTAGTGATGTTATGAGAACCATTCCCACATGACATTTACACAAATGTTAAAAACACCACGTATCACGTACATTCAGTTCACCCGCAGACATGCACCCGCTTTAGCATGTAGCCCATGCACTGGTGCACACGCACGCACGCACACACACACACACACGCACGCACACACGCACACACACACGCGC